AATGTAAAAAATATTACCTACATAGTAGCCTGTAAAGTGTTACACTAGAATACTATATATATTATTAGACATAGTACTATGTACTGTACAATACTCTGTATCCATTAAATTTTGTCACTCCTTGAAATGACCAATTTTCCTAAGTTTTGGGAGTAGTTGTCATAAAGAAGGTTTTCTGTATTTGAAAAATTCAGCAAAATGTAGTGTATAAATTCTGGGATCAAAATTTTTAATATTAAAACTAACATTTACAAATATACTTCTCTCATAACTTTAACATCTGCATTTTTTTTTTCTTTCTTAGACTCTTGGGATTAAAACTTTAGTTTGATTTCCAAGAAAGCAGAAATGTGTAGATATTAAACTAATTAGACTTTTAGCAAATGTCTTTTCTGGAACATCCAACATAATTTACAAATCCAGAATGAAACTTTATTTTTCTATGTAAAACAAAAATTAAAAATTTAATGCTTTCTTAACTAAAGCAAAAATTCTTATGATACCTAGATAATTGCATTTTTGGTACACCAGCATAGAAAAGAGTTGAACATGAACAAATGAACCATTTTTCAGACATTAGATTATAAAGTTCAAGAACAGAAGAAATATCATCTTTATGAATTCCTATAGCTACTCTCATAAACATCTGTTGTGGACTTTCTACAACTATGTAATAGAAAAATAAAATTAAAAATTTTTTAAATCAATAAAAATTTATCAAAAATATTTACTTTTAATAAGAATAATAAAAAGAATTTTTAAATGCATTAAATTAATAAATAAAGATGCTACAAAATAAATTATGTTTAAAATAAATAAATAAACTTAAAAATTTGTCATTTTACAGTTAAAATAAATTTCTATTAATTGAATCTATACGATCAGTTGCAAAATGATACCACTACTGTTCTTTTGAGCATAATTTTATTAAGACAACACAACTAACTGCAAATATAATTTTTATAGAAACATTTACAAATGGTTTATATATTTCAAGTATTAACTGAAGTTATTTTTTTCTGTAGAATATAATAGAAAAACAACTATTTCAATGCAATATCCAGTAAATAAACAATATTTCAAAGCAATGTTAAATACATGATTATGCATGCTTTCCACAAGCTTCTGAAACAAAGAGATGTCAATTCCTTCCCAAGCAGAGATAATTGCTTTCTTCAGTTCTTCAATGTTATTATACTGTGACATATACATGCTCAAAGTTCTCCAGAGGTACTCCATAGAGTTTAAGTCTGGTGAAATGGCTGGTCATCCCATAAAATCCATTTTCCAAGACTACTCTCATGTAGACTTTGTAACATGTATGAATGCATTGTCTTGCTGAAATGTCCAGAATGATTCACTAATAACCTCCTCAAATGGCAAAAAGTTCTCTTCTAACAGATGTTGATAGTAACTTTCATTCAGATTCAGCTTGTTGGAAATGTGAGATTTGTTTTATCATTATAACCAAGCCATCCAGACTATTACTTATCATCCTTGCTGTCACTTGGAGAAGATTTGTTCCTTTTTTCTAAGATCATAACAATAAAATGCCAAGCCATCGGGACCATCTAGGTCAGGCATGGCCAACATACGGCCCGCAGGCCAGATCCAGCCCGCAATCAATCTTTCAATATTAGGTCTGAAGTCTGAATAGCTCGATGAAAAATTCTGATGCCTAAAAGAAGAAAAGGTCAACAACTGTGCGTTTAGAGTTAACCCTCCATTACAAATCTCGTAAGTACAGCGTAGAGTGTTGATAAAGCATGATAATGTGAAAAATGTATCTGTAATCTCTATCTACAATTCAGTCTCTATGGGGTGACACAATGAGATCTTGCACCACCTCAAAATCTTTCTAGGGCAGCCTCAGGTTCGGCCCATGGAAAAAGTTTTCTTTCCAATTTGGCCCAGGGGCAAAAACCAGTTTTTGCCCCTGGGCCAAATTGGAAAGAAAACTTTTCTAGGTTGGAAAGAAAACTGATCTAGGTTATTTTTCTTCTCATGACTCTCATTCATACATTCTTCCAAGATATGTATTCTTTTCCCATGTCATTTTTCTGTTTCTTTGTTGTTTTTAAGTTGAGGCTGTTCTTTTTTTATTTTTATACTTTAGGATTTTTCTACAGTTGATAACTCTTGAAAAGGTAGATGTGTAAACATTAATATTTGGATCATAAGACAGCTGTGCAAGGGATGTTCCACCAGAATTCAGTTTCCTGATAACTTTTCCCTCTTGCCTAGGTGTAAGCTTTCTTGGTCTAACAGAGGACTTCTTTATCCCATATAGCTTCCAAGTTTCAAAAGTTGTTTACCACATATGGAGTACAACCAATTCTTCTTACTATTTTTCTACATGATAATCCTTTCTTTTTAAAAGCCATAATTTTCCTTTCTCAAACCTGGAAGTGCTGCTTTCCAACACATGTTAATTAAGCTATATTTACACATCAAGAACTTGCTTAATTCATTTTATTCTGGAAAATTTCATGAAGATATCTTGTTACCTAATTTATATATTAACTCAGTACAATTCAAATGAAGAACTTTTACAAACAAATGTGGTCTTATCATTTTACAACTGACTTCTTAGTTATTGTTTATTTCTTTTTCCTTGCACAAATTTGCAAAAAAGAGATAATAGTCACCTGTTATGTCAAATATAAAAACTATTTGTTATTGTTGCTATGAAAATTAAACTTGTACTTAGTTATGTTTTTTCATAAAAGTAAATTCAAAAAACATATGGTTGTATCATTTTGCAACTCATTTTAAATAACAGAACTAAACAAAAATAACTATGTAATGAATAAAATGAAATAATATTTAATTTCAATATATACAATATAAATTTTCTTATTTGAAAATTAATTCTATCTGTAGAGAAATATAATTAAAATCATAAGATAAATAAAATAAAAATTAGTATAATTATTGATTTAATAAATAATTTCAGTAATTAAGTAATGATTAAATATGTTAAAATGGTTAAAATTTTATTCCATACAATGAAATATAAAAACTGAAATACAGTTTTTTTTGTATCTTTTCATGATACAGATAATGTCCTAAAATATTAAATATAAAATAAATAATTTTAAGACAATATTTATCAAGAGGATAGGCAAAGAATTACAGATGATAAGTTTCACTCATGGTATCCATTGATGCTAGAGATTTGAATCCCCAACACTATATACAAGTAATCAGTTTTAATATTAAAAATGTTGCATATAATTTTGACTACAGCAATTTTTTTTTTGTATGGAAAAATATAAGCGTTTTGCTAATAAAAATAACTGTTTGTCAACTGAGCAAAATTCATAAGTTCTTCCTACAACATTTAATTTCTGTGAAAAATGCTTAGAGTTTAAAAAAAACTTTATTAACACTAATTGTAATAACTGTCTTACATTCACCAACATGTTAGTTTTATTAGATAATTTTTACAAAATATTTTTAAAAATGATAATACTGTATGTTAAATAAACTACTTATATATGTTTTCTCCCTCTCTCCAAGGTATTAATCTTTTAAAGGAATAAAGGATTGACTGATAATGATTGAAATATAAAATTTATATCAGTATTTCCAAATCTCTTTAAAGAATGATACATTTTATAAATTCCATAATTTTGATAATATACTACACTTACTTGCTGAAAATTTGTTGTACACAACTGCTTTTTACTTTTATTTTTATTCTTATTGTTAGTTTTATATTAATATAAAACAGTTCATAGTTCATTCAATTCTAACAATTTTTGCATTAATGTCATATGTAGCTTGGTCAGTGTGCTGTGGTTGTAATGTTCATATATCAATATGGCTCAATCTTCTGAAGATCTATTTCAGGTCGCAATGGAAGCTGTTGCTTTTTTTGTCAACAAAGCTTTAATGAAGCAATGATAATACAAGCATACACTAAGTAATTCATTATAAATAAAGACAGACAGGAAACTGTAATAATTTTTAATTTGTCAGGATGAAGTTAGATCCCTGTTTCATCAATAAGATAGATACTTTCAACCTCAAAAATGACACTTGCTGGGTTAGTTGTAATCTAGCTCATTGGAAACATTCTAATATGGTGGGGAAGGCAAAATAAATGTTTTAAAATGTTGAAGTGAAAATATCATCATCTTGATAATGAAAACAGCCACTTCAGCCATCCTAAGATACAGTCCAGTGCCAGAACATTATTCAGGCTAAAGTGCCAGAACATTATTCAGGCTAAACGGGAGGATTTTAAAGTTAGACTGTCTTTATCTGTAGTGATAAAAGCAGTCTTTTCTGTCTTGTTCATCTATTACTTGCTGATACTCATATTCAAAGTCATCAAAGAACAGAGCTGAGTTCACTGAAGAAAGTCCAAAGCATCATTATTCTCAGAGGGGGATAAATATTTTTCTTCATATTACAGATAAGTTCTTATAGTCTACATATGGAATTTTCTGAGTTTTCTTCACCTGTCTAACACCTAGTCTCAGCCAGTTTACTTTTTTCCCCCATACCAGTTTGACAAATCCCTCATATGTTGTTTTGCCTTATCCTATCAATCCAAGTCTTAAAGTCTACAGCTACATTTTTCTTCTTCCCCAATACAACTAGAGATAACCAAAAACTAAGGGTTGAATAATTCTCTAGATCAGTGGTGTCCAACCCTTTGGCTTCCTTGAGTCATATCTGAAAATAAAAAATTGTATTGAGCTGCACATAAACTGTAAAACTACATGTAAAGGTGACACAAACAGATTTGCCATTCTAGGCCAAAACAAATGATTAAATAATTTATGTAGCCAAAAATGTAGCCAACTTGAATTTTTGTAGCCCAAAAATTAGCCAATGTGCCNGAGCTGTAAATGGCTCACGTATTTGTAAAATCTAAGTGACTCATACAACATGGAATTCATATAACATGGAATTATCGACAGTGTTATAGGGAGGTCTACTGTATATACAAATTGTCAGAGAATTTAGAGAATATTAAATAAACTTACTCCAGCAATGTGTGTTCCCTTTGCTCGAATATTATGCACACTAAGTCCTATTCCAGCTGTATTCTTGGAAATTATGGCATAGCGCTTCAAAGTTTCATATATCCCTTCTATGCTATCTTCTATTGACGTTAATGCAAAACAGCTAAATTTGAAGAAATATGTAAATAATCCATTTCCATAAACTTTAAGATATTAAATTTTCAATTTTTTAAATATAGTCATTTTCCAAAATAAAATTTTAGAAAAATTATTCTTAAGCATTGTGTGTCTGATTTCTTTTAAAGTAATTTAATATTATAAGAATTTGTATTAAAAATAATTAAATTATTTGTTATTGATTCTGGTATTATATATTGCCTGATTTAGTATAAAATTATTATTGTTTCATTATAAAAAAACAAAGAAAAATATCAATATAAATTATTATATTAGATTTAAAATCTTGGATTAAAAACAGGATTTACCATATTTCATTTACTGCATATAAGTTAATATAATATAGCAAACTAAATAAATACACCTTTAGTAAGTAAAAGTACATCTTTCAAGAGAAGATCTCTATAGTTAAAGCAAATTGCTGATTTCAAATTTGAAGTCAGCAATTTGCTATTTCATTGTACAATGCTACAGTCATTGTAATCCTAGTCTCAACATAGTGTTCCAGTTTAGAGCCATTGTAATCCCAGAAGAGCAGCACCTGCAGACACCCTGAGCTTTAAATTTTTTTTATTTTGGAGACAGAATATTTTCACTCTATATCTGATCATTTTGAGCACAGCTCATAAAGATGCACTCATGAATATTTTTGTATGTGTTGTGCAACAAACCATTTCTGTATTACTCAAACTTTTGTAAAAATATTTCAGATATTCTTATACAGCTCTGCATTCTGCAAACTGAAGCTGTTCTTCTGTAAGCTTGTAGTATCCATATCATGTAGACCTTCTGATGGCCAAGGTCATCAGGAACTTTGGTGTATGTTGATCCATAACTTATTTGGAGAAAATGCAATTTCACTTACAGTAATCTGATAGGTTTGCTTTGAATCAGTACATCTACCTCAATATGGTTGTCTGTTCATAATGTCAGATGCTGGTCAGGGCATTCTCCATTGTCAAAACTTTTACTCCCACTCTCAAATCTGTCCACCCATATGTAAACATTTTTCTGTGCCATGCAGTGTTTTCCAAACCATACTACTATTCCATAAATTTTCCCAATTGTTCTGATCATTTCCAATAGATTTTCCACCTTCTAACTACAGAAATTGAATCACAGTTCACTGTTCACTAATGGTGCAATTTGACTATTAGGCAGCCATATTATTTGTCCAACTACAAGTGTGAGCTATGATATTTAATAGAAGTTACAGTTCAGTCAGGTAGTTTTTGTGGTCATTGCTAGTTTCACATAGTGTGTTTATGGCACTTATGGTCTTATAATTTACAAATTCTTCAAAATATTTATAAATTATAAAATTTTAATGTAACATTATAAATCTTCAAAATTTAAATGTCAAAGTATACAATACAAAAACTATACAATTTATAAATTAGATGTTCCAGAAAATACTTAAATAACAAATGGAACAGTTTAAAATTATCACATTTATGAGAATTAATAAGTTTTGAAAGAAAGAACAAGTAAATTAACAAAGAGAATGAGGAATATTTCTTTGCATAAAAAAAAACTATTAATTTATTTATTTATTTACACAGAAGTGTGGATGAATAAGAAGACAATTTCACAATAATTTTAATCTGCATTTGGTCTGATATAATGCATCAAACCTGAAAATTTTGTAAAAATTCAATAATAAATGTTGAAACTATATTTGACAATTCTAGTGTTCATATAGGCAAATACAGATATACCTTAACTTTTGATCCTTCAATATACAACTACTCATAGTTACAACTGTATCCCATAAAGCAGTGTTTCTCAACGGGGGTGATATAGCCCCCATGTGGGCGTTTTTCCATGTTGAGGGGGCAATTTGTAACAATTTATATTTTGGGAGGCAAAAAACAATTTTCTGGGCGATATAGTAAAACATTATATTAAGAATAATTAAATATTTTATTCATTATATCGTACAATAATTAAACAAATAACATTATACTAGTCAATAGTTTATTCAATGCAGTACGAATTTGGCGTTAGCCTTGGCCCTCGGCATCGGAATTTTGAAGTGAAGGGGGCAATACTACGTAATGGTTTTATTGAAGGGGTCAATACTACGTTGAAGGGGGCAACAATTCATTAGAGGTTGAGAAACACTGCCATAAAGCATTCAAAGTAGCCAAAATCAACTACACTGCTGACATTATATGGCAATATACATATATGACTTAATTTAATAATTCTGTATAAAATAATTCATAATAGGAGAAAATTGGTTTTAGTAAACAATATCAGCAATGACTAAAACAGAATTTACATTACTTAATGTAAATTCTACTTTTACAGTAATTATATGACCTCTCTCTCACCATCTGATGCCATGATTTCATATATTATGCCATATTAGACTTACAACTAGGGATTGCAATCCAGCAGTGTTTTCAATCCAGCTGGATTTTTGCTGGATCAACATCATTCCAGCTGGATCCAGCGCGGATCCAGCACAGATGTATTTTTGGTGAAATAAAGTGTTATCTATCTATCTATCCAGTAATTTATGGCTTTTTTTAAACAAATAAAACATTTTTTTAAATACTTAAGAAACTTTTATTATTTAGACTGGTCACTATACAGTAAATCAATAAAACTTCTTACATATTTAGGTAGTAAACTTAACTTTGGTTCGGTTTAACACTTGAGATAGAGATAATTAACTTTAAATGTTTGGTTAGATTATAACTATAATGTAATCTTTAAGTTAAATAATAGCAGAGGTAATTCTACTAATTAATTTATATTAATATACTCTATTATAATAATGTAAGGACGGATAATCAGTGGCTAAGTGGCTATTAGTCTTACCTGTTTTCTTATATAGGCTCTACATATCAGTCTGTAGCTATTTATAAGTAATTTAATTATTAGTGTTAGTAAAGTAGTGAGTAAGTAATTAGTAGTAGTCTAGTAGTCTAGTAGTTAGTTATTATTATCACAATCATGAATCAC